TTCCATAGGGTCGGAGCTGCCACCGAGAAGGCTCTCCTCCGCGTGGTTGCCAGTCGACATTGACCGGCTGATGGAAGTTAGTTTTCATAAATGTGCTCTGCTAGTCTTCTGTTGTCTGTCTTACCTGGTGTTACATTCCTTACACTGTATGTAGATAACTCCTGGGTTTTGTTGTTGTTATTGGGCTACTGAATCTTTAGGGTTTATATGCTATGGTGTTACTGTATGGTTGTAATACCTTGTTGTTCCCGAGACGTTTTTGATGTATGGTAGTTTCTCTTTCCATAGCTTATGTTGTTGTGTTGCAATAGATTGAGTGGTCAGGAACTTTTTTATTGCTACACAGCTCCATTTGTGGGAGGTTAGAGTGTTTTTCAGTAGACTTGTATTTCTCTTTTGCTGCAATTATTTCTTCTGATGAGAATATAAAGGAAGTGTAATGCATTGCTTTCTATTTCCCTTGTGGTTTAATTCCTTTAAAGATGTTGTTTCATATGTCTTCTCTGGCTGTGGCTTTTTTATTTCGAGAAACGTGCCATCTGCATACTGGATCCATTCTTTCGGTTGCACATGTGGGAGTGCTGTGGTTTCCAGATGCTGCATTGCAGTCTCTGGTATACCCCACACTAGCTGGCACTGATATTGCCTAGTTGGGCAACGAAACATCTGCAAGCAAACAACCAAGCTCAGAGAGCACCAAGGACTTCACAATTAAGCCATGAGCTACATATATTCTCTCTCAAAAGTATTTGGTATGGTTAGTTTAAAAATACACTTAACAAATGACCTATTGTATTAGAGAATTAAAGAAGCATTCTTGCTATGGAGGAAGCAAAGAATATTTTCCTTCTTTCAATGTTATATTTCATACATTATCATATATCCAGGATTGCTTAAAACAGTGTTTCTCAGCCTCTGCAAGTTTAAAATATATGGACCTCAACTCCCAGAATTTCCCAGGATGTTGGCTGGGGAATTATGAGAGTTGAAAGTCCACATATTAAACTTTCAGAGTTTGAGAAATACTGTCTTAAAGGACATACTTTTTATGAGTTTGTATTACGAGATTGTATTTTACAACTTTTAACGTGTTGTGAAATCTATGTGACAGTATGTGGTAACTCTAGAGCTGGGGTATCAAACTCAAGGCCTGCGGGCCGGATCTGGCCTATGGGGTGCTTAGATCTGACCCGCAGAGCCTCCCTGGAAACAGCAAAGGACCAGCCCACGGTGCCTCTACCAATGAAAATGGGGCTCAGAAGAGCCGTGTGCTCTCCCAGGCTCCATTTTCGGCTGTGATAGCCTCCTGCAGCCCTCTGCCAGTGAAAACCGAGCCCAGGGAGGCTGTCGCTGTCAAAAACGGAGCCTCAATGAGTGATGTCGAGCTGGCCATGCCCACCCTAGCCACACACCCCAGCCCCCTGAAATAAAACACAACTCTGATGCAGCCCTCAATGAAACCGAGTTTGACACCCCTGCTCTAGAGCATAGTTTTTGGAAAGATTTCATAGAGGTTGTATCTGTCACTAACTAGTAATCATGGTACTTCCCCTGAATGCCAACTGCTTAGACTCAAGAGTGATTTAATACTTCGTTCTGTTTTTTCTACTTGAGAATTTCTCAGAGAGATCTGATTAATCAGTAGGGTATTCTGGTTGGTAAAGAATGGGCATTAAATTGAGGCAGTAGGACTGCTGTTACATGATTAAAATGTTAATGATAACTTAAGACCATATGTTTTGCTCAATGCAGGGTTTTATGATTCAGACTGGTGATCCTACTGGCACTGGCATGGGAGGTGAAAGCATCTGGGGAGGAGAATTTGAAGACGAGTTCCACGCAACCTTACGACATGATAGGCCATATACACTTAGTATGGCCAATGCAGGACCAAACACTAATGGCTCACAATTTTTTGTAACCGTAGTACCAACGGTAAGTAACATGTCAGCTATTTGTCAGTTTTTCAGGTTATATTTTGTGGAAAGAAGGGCTGCCATGGGCTGTGTGATGTTGCAAACTGAATAGAAGCAGGATTTTATTTTCTAATTATCTTTACCTTGTTTTAAGAGTTACTTTGCTGTATCTCAAGAATAAACGTCAATAGAAGTTCTCAATCATCCAGGTCATAGTTGCCACAAAGGTGCTTTTTCCAAAAGACAACCTGACTTCCTTGTTTTTTTTCCTTTGAAAATGTTTCACTTCTCATCCAAAAATAGTATGAATGAGAAACAAAATGTTTTCAAAGAAAAAACAAAACAAAATTCCAGTTGCTTTTTGGAAAAAGCTGTATGTGGCCCTGAGGGCTCATTGCTCACCCTTAATCTAGCTGAAATGAAAACAACTCATGTGAGAGACAGGAAGGATTGAGACAGTTGATCTGAACAGATATTTTAAGAAAGTTTCATGAACTCTGTATTTTACCTACCAAGTGTGATTAAGGTGCAATTCTGACAGTTTTCTTCAAGCTTTAATAGGAAGAATCTAACCCCTCAAACACAGATTTGCTGTTAATTAGTAAATGAAAGGAACAAGAAATCTGGGCATTTCACCATAGAATTTAAGATTGGAACTGAATCAAATCCTGAGGTGCCCCATGGCACTAAGTAGCATTAATTCAACTGTATTTTTTCACATTTGTTTTGAAATGAAATAATCATATTATACTGAATTGTTATGTTTTATATTACCATAAGTAGAAATAGAATCCATGTTAATAAAATCAGTCATTTCCCTTAACTGAAGGTGGCATATTTATTTTTTTCTCTATACATGATTCCTATATAGTTTGGGCTATATCTATCCTAGAATGCAGCCAAGAGGCATTTTTATGTTTATGCATGTTCCCTCAGTTACAGATTATAGGATCAATTTGTCAATATTGATAATTTCAATTATTAATTTTTTAATGTTTCTGTTTATTTTCACATGTCAACTAATTACAACCACATAACAGCCATGGCTGGATAATAAGCACAGCGTATTTGGAAGAGTCACTAAAGGAATGGAAGTTGTTCAGAGAATTTCAAATGTGAAAGTGAATCCAAAAACAGATAAACCCTATGAAGATGTAAGCATTATTAACATCACTGTGAAATAATAGTAATATTAATTTTTTTTAAAAAAACACCTCAGGGACTTCAGTTATATGGAAATCTTAAGTATTTCTGGCATAAAAAGTTCATAACGGATTTCAGTCATGTCTTCAAAATGCTCTGAAAAATATTTTTAATGTTTTTAATAAAGGTAAAAAAAACCCAACCATATTAAAACAATCATATTTTGTTTCCTGTATATATGTCTTATGTGGATATTAATTGGTTTCTGGCTTTTTTGAATGACTTGGCATGGGAAGCACATGCTATTCCATTTTCATAATGTTATGTTACTATTATGTATGATCTACAGTTGGGGATAAAATATTTTGTTTACAAACAATTCCACCTTGTGAGTTGCAGATGACTTCACAAAAAATTAAATTAAAATTAGATATTTCAGATCTGATTAAAAATATTTTAGTAGTGTTTGATGTGTCAAGTAGGATTGGTAGTAAATCAGTTTCATCAAGAGTTGCCCAAACTATAGTTTTAGGTGGAAATCTGAGATCAGTATTTACAAAAAACCATAAATTCTTAGTAATAACACTGTGAACTTATTAAATTTGGTAGAGGATTATCTGCATTTTAAATGCAACTCTACTCAACATTCTATCTTATCAGATATCTCCTTTCTATAACCCATTATTTCATTTTGTGGGGTGAAAAGATGAGGCAAACTAAAAAGCTAGCACATTTTTATAATCTTTGAATTAGCCCAGTACAATAAATGACAATATAAGATCCTTGTTATAAGAAGACATTAGCTGGGAATGTTAGATATCTTGAGAGGGGTTTCTTTGTGTCTGTATTTTCAAAGCATGTACAAAAGATGAGACCAAAAAAGTGGCTTCAGCATAAGCTAAGCATTCATAATTTTCTGAAGCAAATATTAGATACAACACAGGACCTGGTTCATATGCCACTGTAAACCTAACCAGATTACAATATTATAGCTCAGAATGGGAAGTGAATGGAAAGCTTATTGAATTCGTGTTTATATATAAATTATAATGTGGTTCCTACAGCTTTTGACTTAGCAGTATTAGGTAGCGTTCCTTTAAGGATAAATCTGACAAAGCTCTAGCTACTGATCACCAGCTAAGAGGAGAACATGACTGAATCATGCCAGTTTTAAGTTCAGTTCTATTCAATTTAATCAAGAAAGTTTTATACAGAATATCCTGTAAAATCTATTCAGAGGCTCTCCAAACATTGCCAAAATTCCAAGTGAAATTACATTAAATATTCATGATAGGTACAGTACAAGAAAACTTGGCACATGAGACTAAAGATTTATGTCTGTATATCAATTTAAGAAAAACAAATTCTGCAATGTAAAAATTCTATAATTTGAAAAGTATCATGACAATAATAACAATTCTTTTATGTTGTACTATTATTCTATATTAATTTCTTCTAGCAACTTTTTATTCTTATTTTTCTTTCTTATGTTGATGCTGACTTTTGTTGCTTTCTATTTTTATAATAAAGAATATGGTTTGATTGTGTACTCAGTATTGGAAAATTAAGTAATGTTCCTTTTGAATCAAGGACTTTCTGATTACTTCAGGCACTCATCCATAACATTTTCTTAGCTTTCTATAGAAAGGGTTGCCATTGTCTTTTTCTGAGATTTTTTAAAATTTCAATTTCAAGTCTATAGGGACATATTAGTGATTATCATTTTGATAAATGCCACAGTCAGCTTAATATATGATGGGTTTTTTAACCTGCTCTAAAAGAATTCACCAAGTATTATTTAAACCACAGAGAGAAATAGAGAGACTCAATTTCTGTCAAGAATAAGCTTCAAAGAAGAAACAGTTTGGATGAAATAACTTTATTACTACATTCACTATCACAACTGTTAAATATTTATTTTTGTGAGCTATTTTACATGTATTACAGGTGCAGAAGATGGATATTTTTATGCAATAACTCCTCTTCCTTTGACCTATTCCTGTTAGTAATTAGAAAATAACTCATGGCATAAAGTTATAAGCTACTGTGTAACTGGGTATCGTTGCATATGGTATCATTTTATAAATGATACTATATGATACCTTTCTTTAGCATTGTTGAACACTGCATTTAATCAAAATTCTACTGTATCATTATTTTACAAATCTATCTTTAATCAAATACAGCCCACTCTTAAAACAGTTTATATGAAGCTCTTAAAAATTCTTTGGAGCTAAAACAATTTTAAAAACTTGCACTCATTAGTACACTAAAGAAAATTAAAGGTCAATGATGTATGAAGCAAGTTTTTAATTTCTGCTTGAACAAGTTATATACAATACAAACAAGAAGAGCTAATTTTGGTAAAACTTGAATTCAGACAACTATAATAGTTATATTCACAGTAGCTTTTGTGACTTTCAGTTAAATAATACTTTTATACAAGTACACTATATTTGCAGCAGAGCTCAACTTTGTCAATATTAACCAACAAATATTTCTGCACATTCTCCTAAAATCAACACCTTCAGAGTTTTACATGAAGCAAGCAACAGCATTTAAAACCAATGATAAAACAATTTACAGTCAGCCTTTTGAACTGCTATATATCAAGTGGTATCATGCAGCCTAATAGCATTAAAATGAAATAAAAGCAAGGCATACAGTAGCAGAAGTCTGACCAGTAAAATATAGTAAAACCTTTCAAATTACTTCACAGACACAGGCTTTGCACCTACAACCTAGCTCTTAAACACATCTAAACTTGCAGTGTATTTTGACAGGAGTTGAAGCAGGTAAGAAATGTTTGTGGCAAATAATCGCTACTTTTATAGTATTTAGATATCTATAGCCAATTATTTTAATACATTAAAGGTTTCCATTAATGCATAAATGCTACAGAATGCTGAAACATGCCTGTCATCCAAACATATCCCCAAAGAGAGGGAACCAATGGCAAATATTTTATCTCAAATAGGTAGCATTTTTTAAACTTTTAAGACAATTATATGCAGCATTACTTACTACTTCAACACAGTAGTTATGAAAAAAAACAATGGCTACAATTTAAAAGTTCTTTCACTGACCTTGTTTCAGAAATGATTATGTTTTAAAGATGAACTGATATTTCACTAAGCTGATAAAACTATGATCCCGAAAGTTATTTATGATTAAGCTCCAACGAACAACACAACACACAAACATATGCTTGTGCTGTGTAACATGATTCAAGCACTTCAATTATATTTTGAAGAGGCAGACACACTTTGTGCCAATAGTATTAATTGGAAAGTATTAACAGGGAAGTAAGAGAAAGAAACAGCACAGAGTCAAGACTAGGTTGTAAATGACTGCAACTACCTTACTTACAGTCTACAGACTTTGGAATACCATTCAACAAGGATCTTATGATTGGGTATCCAAATTCTGGACTGATGCTTCACTGCAGCCCATGCACTACTGAAGCAAGTAGCAAAGTCTCAAGTCAATCACAGTAGAGAGAAGTAACAATGTCTCCTTTTGCAATCTGAATGAACTTCATGCATGGCAGCAGGTTCTGACCTTTTTATGTATTCAATGAGTAGGCCAAGAAGGAACTCTTAGTTTCATCTTCCCTAGGGTTCTGATTCTGGCAACCTATCAACACTGCTAATTGTTTTCCCTAGTTCTGCCACATACTTCCAATCATCAATGGAGCTTCTGGACTCCTCAGCAACTCCATTTTTAAAGAGATAAACTGGTCTTTTATTGGTCATTTATTATTGATGATGGTTTAGATATTTGCTATCTAAATCCTGATTTAATTGTCACTGAACTTTTGGTGAACTATTGCTTTAGTAAGAAACATTTTATTAAGGAAATTCTTGCTTCTTAAGATAGCTATAGCTTCACCGTTTGTAGTCTTAAAACACAGAACCACTGACTAGCACTCAGTCAGAATTCTGAATCTGAACATTTACTTATGTATAAACTTCTCTTTCAAGTTACTCTATCAAGCAAACTTTACCTTAAAATTTAGTGCATGTCAAAATGAATGAATTCAAGTATTAGCATGAAATTATTAACCATGGTAAAGCATGACCCTTAGAATGTGTATTACTTGATAAAACATAGTCAAAGAATTAAACAATATTAAACATCAAAATTACCAATTCATAGAACTTTCTCCATCAATAAGCCAACTAATATCAAGAGGGAAAATGAAAGATTATCTTTATAGAATCATAGTAAAAAAAATTAAAAGCAAATCTTAGTTCAAATTAAAGTAGAAACAAATGTGCAGTCTGTGGCAGTAGGGAGATAGTGTGTTTCCATGTCTCTCATACATATGTATGTATGTATGTATGTATGTATGTATGTATGTATGTATACACACACACATACATACATATATGAATGAAAACCAAAGGATCTTCAACTTTCCAACATCTCCTCATAAAACAGATTTTGAATAATTAAATATTAAACAGATTAGAATGAACTGTAAAGCCTAACAATCCCCAAATTCTGATAAGCATTAAGATGACAAGGAAATGAGAAGGGATTCTGACATGCAATCTCAACTAAAAAAATGCTAAGATGCTAAGACAATGGCACAGTGTCTTTTAAAGAAAGTCTGATTTCCATGTACCAATTTAAGCAAAGACTGGTAGTTGTAAATTCTGAAACATTTGTTACATAATTCGAAATCGTATCTGCCACATATCTAACTGGTAGCTTTTCTGTAAGGCAGTGCTGTTTTTACTCCCAACAACATCCCAACTAAGATAAGTATAGTAGAAGACAAACAATCTGTGGATAGGGGCTTTTCATGAATTTTTATTACAAGAAATTTAAGAGACAGCAATCTGTCAAAGATGTAAAAACCCAACCGCTACAGAGAATTTTGGTAAAAAATAATGTGAAGAGAGAAAGAAACAAGAAAGGCATGTAGCAGAAGCAGTCTACATAAAATTGAAAAAGCAAATAAAACAGTCAGGACACTTTTTATCTAAGCTGAAACTATTTGGATGGGCTGGTACATTTCCCACAATTCACAGTGAGAATGTGTAACTTTGACATCTTTGTAAATAATTAAGTTGAGAAATGCTGCTCTTATCATTTTAATATTCAAGAGACTGCCTTCATTTTCCTCTCCATTTTTATTAGAATGCATTTTTTTCTGGGCAAAAATTTCCTGCCCTTTCTAGAGTTGAACAAATGGTTTGTTGAATCTTCCATGTTTGCTACAACCTGCACTATTAATTTTTAAACTTCTCATCTCAACTACATTAGTGGAGGTCCTATTTCACTACTGTTATTTATTTCTGCATTTTCAAGGCTGCTCATAATTTATCGAAAGCACACCAGTAACAAGTAATGTGTGCAAGAAAAATTAACCACAATTAAATAGGCTATATGATTTCAACAAGTTAAAAAATCATCATGTGCAATTAAAGCACACAATATATTTATGAACGGGTCAGAGTAACTTCAAATCTGTCAGATATTATACTTAATCCTTTCTTAACTCTGAATGGATGGAATATTTGTACATTAGAAATTTCTAAATGTATCTAAAAATTAGCATGTGTTAATGCAATTTTAGGCAGCCTCAATATATACTTTGTAAGCCACATTTGCAAAATAACAGTAATAAGTCTTTGATCAGCACAACAGTTTTTCCAAGATACAGACCAAAAAAATCCTATGTTTATAGGAAATTTTACCTAGATATGTGCAAAAATGTATAATTATTTAATATCAGAGAAGAGTTTCCTCAAAAGCAGCATCCAAATTGAGTAAAATAAGAATAAAAGAAATACATAAAAGCAATAGTAAGTCTATAGCACAAGTGGAAAACTGTTATTAGTATACTTGTATAGATATGGGCTTGAATTTTAAGAGCAAGAGCTATTAACCAAAACCAAGCATTTGTTCAATCAGTTCCTGCTTCGCTTTAATATATAGTAAACTATGTTGGTAATGTGAAATAATGGTTATACATGCACCCAAGTCTGCGAGAGCAAGTGAATGCAGCAAGGCCATCACTGAAAGAAGTAGAATTAAATAGATGCTAAGTCCTGAGAGAAGGATGTTTAATAGGGAAGGCTGAAGATCCTCAGTTCAAATTTCTTTAAAAGAAATTAAGGCACCTTTCCCACAAATACATTAGATCACTCTATTTGGTTACTGTAATTTACACAAGTTATACCTACACTGTGCTTCAGTCTAGCATTCCAACAAAATGTTTTTAAGGATTAACAGGTTTAGATGAAGTTCGTATCTGATCATATCAATTCACATAAATAAACAACTAATCTTTATGCTTACTGGCTCTCTTAAGCCACATCCAGTACACCTGCAGCTACCAGGTGCCTTGAAAGCCAATCCAGTCCTTCGTAAAGTCCCATGCCACTTCGGGCATCACAACCTTGAATGTACCAGCTACGACCGCAGCAAAGTTTGTGGAGATTCAGTAATTCTGTGATTTCTTCTACTGAAAGTGCCCCTGGCACATCCTGTAAAGAGAGGTAATAGTTTAAAAGTAAATGTTCTCATTTAAGAATAGGGTGGGGTTTTGTTTTAAACAGTTTGAACATGTAGCACAATAGGGTGGGGAAACACATTTAGGACACTGAGGGGAAAAGACAGATCACAACTTTTATTATAAAAATATTGTTACACATTGCATATAGTAAGAAATGCTTCATCCATCCAACCTCTGGGAAGAGAGATAGCAACACCATATATCATTGAAATTGTTTCTGTAACGGCATTCAAATTATGTAATATATATATCAAGATTCTTCCTAAGGGAAGAATCTTTCCAATCAACTTTCAACTAAGGATCCTGCTTTAAGTTCCAACCATTTGAAGAAATAAGTTGAAGAAATAAATTCAACACAAGAAACCAGACACATAACTACAAAGTGGTAGGCCAAAAATACCTAGTGTTAGAAAGCAAAATTTAACTAATTACGGGCTAACAGGTTCATACCAGCCTTTAGTGGGGTTTATTGATAATGTAACAAGTTAACACAAAGAGCATTTTGGAGGATTGACTTGGTATTGGGTGAATGGACATAGGAAAAAAGATTATTATTTTTAATAGAATAATCTAATATTTATTTTTATTTTGATTGATTGATTGATGTGTTCTTAAGGATTGTCATTTAAATTACAACAGTTTTTGATTTATTCTGTGTTTTCTCCTATTTTATACTGCCAAAATGAAAACAATGGAAATGAAACAGAAACAAACACAATGGGCTATATTACCTGCTTGTTGGCAAAGATCAGTAACAAAGCATCACGCAGCTCCTTCTCTGTTAATAGTTTGGCAAGTTCACTGTGTGCCTCACTGACTCTGTCTCTATGGCTGCTATCAATGACAAAGACCACAGCTACAGAAAAGAACAATTATGCAATTATATATGTTATGAACTTGTTTCTTCCTACTAACATTTTATTTTTTTTAGGTCAGGAGGAAGATTAAATTTTAAATTCAATTTGAAAGCTAGGACTTAGTACAAATGTCCAAATTGCCATCTACTTGAAGCAGACTCATATATTTACAGACACAAAAAAAATGCAGCCTCCTATGCGGCACCAGAAATCTTTGAAGAGCAAAATAGCTTTCAGGGTTAGGCAGAAGTAAACTTTATTAATTGGAGAACCAGCAACTGGAATGCAAGGAAATGGTTTTAATGACCTGCTTATCCAATCGAACAAAATTTGCTCCAAATAAGATAGCACTAAGAAGAGGAGGAAATAAAATCAGTGAAAATATCTATATTTTCCTGTTCTACTATGTGTGTGGCAATAGTAGAGACAGGAAGCTCTGCAGTTCAGCCATGAGAAGAATCTTTGGAGGCCCCTCTGGTATGTCCTAAATTATTAGGGTTTGGACTCTAGAAAAAAGTCTTTAAGTGATTGCATGTAGGTTCTCCAACTTTATGAAATCAAATCACTTTGCCAACAAATGAAAGTCTCTCTTACTTCCTCACTGAAAAGTAAGTGAAAACCCTTCCTTCTGAAGAGTTTTTAGTGTCTTTAGTGTATCATCTTTCTTAATTTTTTTTCTTGTTGCTGAATTGTCTTTTATGTTTCTACTTTTCAGAGAAATGCTTTTACTGTTATTTGCTGTGAGTTGCATAGATTTCTGTCAAGGATATGTGGGATTTAATTTTTAAAAATTAATTAAACAACAATCCCATTATCATTTAAACTTTTGCAAATCCCCAGAAATGGTAAACAAATAAATATAAACATTATCTACATTTTAAATATTTATACTTTGAAGTTAAATGAATTTCAATGGGACTACCAAAACCTTTGGATGAGAGATAAAATTTTGAGTAATTAAGTCACAAAGTATTGTATTCTTACCTTGTGTATTGAGGTAATAATGTTTCCATAAAGGCCTCAGTTTGTGTTTGCCACCTACATCCCAAATAGTAAATTTCAGGTTTTTATATTCTACTGTCTCAACATTAAAACCTAAGGGAGTGAAAGAACTTTAATTATACATTACTAACAAAACATATTCAAGAAAGTCACAATTTTTAAAATCTCTGTTACTTACCTATAGTTGGAATGGGTTGCATGAACTCATCTTGTTTTAGTTTAAATAAAATAGTAGTTTTGCCTGCTCCATCTAATCCAAGGGTCACCACTCTAATCTCCATTTTTGGTCCAATGTGTACTCTGTTGTCCTGTATTAGAGAAAAAAAGAGGATTGCTCATTTTTGAAGCTAACATTCAAAGGCATTCTTACATGCCAGCCAAATATCTTATCCCTTTTGTTATAGAAATCAGGAATTGAGGATTGAGAAAATAATTTATCTTGTCAACATCTTAGGCCTTAACAACTTGATGTTTCATAAGCAACATTGACCATTATTTTACAAATCTGAAGTTTTGGAAATACACTGAAATGTGGTGCCCATACTGTGGTAGACAGGAACAAATTTTAAAATAACTGCACTAATCATCTTGGTTAGAGATGCCTGGATAGTCTCTTGTGACGAGCCGAAGGACAGAGAATGGAAGTAGTGATCTTCCTCCCATATTTGGGCATACCGGGGGTTGTAAAATCTAAATAGATACCTTTCACCCTGGCTGGCTGATAAGGAGTTGAGCTCTGTGGCTCAATGGTTAACACATCTGCCTTAGAGGCAATACAGCACAGGCTCGATTCCCAGTAAGGGTATGGCTAGCTGATGACAGCTAAATAGCTTGAAATAGATCTATACTAGTCTCCCTTTATTTATTTATCAGCACAAATATAACATAATAAAACTATGCATATAGTTATTCATGAATATGCATTTGTTAAGTAGAGGATAGAGTGCAACTTTCTTAAAACCTACTCAAGTGTGAAATTTTGCATGCACCTATACCAAGGGAGAAGTAACTGGGCATTTATGTGTATGATCTTGACTACAATTGCCTTTTCCTTCAGTGCTGTCCTGAAGAATTATCCAGCTACTACTACCAAGTTTTTCATCCAAAAGGCCATCTATCTTGAATTTGTAACATATGATGTTACAAAGTTGATTTGTAAAAAATGATTAATGTTGACAATTCCATGTTGGATATATTACAACACTGGAAATCAAACTAATGTTTTGCTTTCCTGGCAATAGTTTAAATAGATAGATCAATGCCTATTGAAGTTCATGAATATACCCACTGTCAGGCCTATACAAATGAAAAGCTGTGCAGTTTTTCATTAGCAGATAGCAGTTCAACCAAATACAGCTTGAGAACTACTTGGCTCATGGAGGGCAATAGTCAATACATTCTTTGTTCCATCTGGTATAGAACATAAACAGAAGGAATGAATGGAACTCAACGTTCCAGGTTCCATTTTTAGCTACAGATCATGAACCAAATTAACCTTTTAATTGTAGTTTTCATCTTATCCCAAATAGATTCTTGTACCATACAGCAGACTATTTCAAAGTTGCCTAAGTTGTTAGTAGGCGAAGAATACAAACTCATGTTCTGAATCTTTAACCTAGAGATTAAAAGAACTATACCTTTGTAAAAGTAACTGGAATGCTAGCATCAAGTTGAATGTGGTCTGCAAGTTCTGTAAACTGTTGTTGTTGTTTCTGCAATGTTTCTAAAAGCCTTGTAATCTCTTGTTTAGCCAAAACAACTCTACAGTCATCCTAAAAAGGGAAGCTAAATTTAGTGTAATAAGCACAGAATCATCTAAATATTAGCGTTCTCAACATATAACAGAATGGAAAATTGCTCCAAGATGGGGGAATTCACAGCCCTTGCACAGTACCTATTTTTGGCCCGCAGGCCCTCAAATCATTTTGCCAACATTTGGCAATAGAATGGTTGAATTTCAGTTGCATTCCTATCACAACCCCACCTAAAATAAGTGGAAAACTCATTTTTGCTCATTCTGGTAAGGAGATGATGGTGAAGGAGAAGGAAAAAATAATTAGAACAAGTGGTATACAATACAATTAAATGATATATTCAATAAAACTGCAAATTAGGATATTAGTCAGTAAAAAAAACCCTCAACCAACAGGAACAGCAATAAAAATGCAACCTAGCCGACTTAATAACAATCACAATTACATTTCAAAAGTCCTAAAAAAGAATTCTGACTTCATAGCCTTACATAAAAATTCCAAGTTAAATGCTGATCAAATCTCTGGTGGGATGGTATCGCACAAGATACCGCTACAGAAAAACATGTCTTTTGGGCCCATACTAGTCTTACTTCCCACATTCTGGCAACTTAGAGCCAAGATGTGTATAAAACAAATCAGGTTTCTTGAGAGAGGTGAACAACTGGAAACCAAACCACATAGTCCTTGAAAGTCCACTTTGAATTCTTCCTATAAACCTATCACAGATCTATGCAGCAGTCACAATTAGTATTAAAATTAGTATTAAAAGTATTAAATGGCTGCAGTGGCTCTCACCGACTTGTGCCGGCTGCTGCACTTTGCATTGACTGCAGTTTCAGAATAGTTATTCAAATGTTCCTTAAAAAGAGCATTGCAGTAATCTTCTGTTGTGATTATGAGATGTGAATCACAATCAACAGGTGATCAGATGGCCTTTGGAAGACGGACTCTCAATTGTGGAAATATTGTCCATCTCTGAACATACAATCCCTCCCCAAACATTTAATTTTATGGCTTAATATAACATGGAACCTATACTACATAGAAGGAGAGATATGTCACGATTTGCAGCAACAGATTACTGATATGCATTATTTGTCAACATCTGAATCAGACTTTTCTTTGTGGCCACTTTATCAAAAAGACTTTCAAGCAACACTAAATTTTTGAAATTGTTTTTCTTATAATATATGTAGTTCTTCCTCCCTTCTTTCCATATATCACCAAAGTTATATAACTCACAACTATATTTATTAATTTTGAGATTATATTTGATTGTTTAATGCTGTTGTATAATATACATTTTTTCTGATGGATTAGATTACTGTAACAAAGTAAAAAAAAGATCTGTATGCCACTCCAAAACTGGTTAAGAAAAGCACATTAAAAAATGGAACTTCAATGTAGCAGATTTAGATTTGCAACAGAAATAAATACTACTATTTCATAATACATTAATATAAAGACAGTATATTGTTCAATTTTTTTTCTCTTAAAGATCAGAGCAGCACTCTACTAGAAACAAGAAAACAAGTTATATTTTATTCAGTTGAAAGAATACAAGCAAATTGCTCATCAATACTCAAAATGTTTTTAAATTAATTTCTAAAAGGTTAAACAGAAGACCAAGCCAGTCAATTTTAGTTTACTTCTTTTATATATTTTTGGACACAATGGTATTTAAATTTTATTGAATAATTACATGTTTTAGTAATCAAGTTTAATATCCTTCATAAGCACTTTCACCCATGGGAATCCACAAAGAGGCAAATGGCATAATGTGTGTAATGAGGTCATCACACAAATACCACAACCTATGTATTTGCATCCAACATCACTGTAATGTACTACAGATGCCGAAGCTTATACCTCGAAGTCAGGTCTAATATATTTTCTTAGATATTTATATCATTTTTCAGAAGTGGGGTCTCAAACATTTTAATAAAAAATAAACCATGAATAAAACTCAAGGTTTAATTTGAATTTGACCTCAACAATTACTTATGACATTTTTGGTTCCTTTGGCATTTTTGTTATTTTTTTGGCCCACTGCTATTTATGAAATCAGTATTTTCAGTAAAGCCAAGTTATAATTCAGTAACAGAATCTGTAACAAAATGAATGTAATTTGTCCAATGTTTATGAGAATTGGCATTACAAGATACAGCTAGCTAGCTAGCTAGCTAGCTAGCTAGCTAGATACATACACACACACACACACACACACACACACACACACACAGACACACACCTACCTGTCCCAATATTGATTTTGGTTATAGTATTGATTCCCTACCTGTTGTAAAGTCTTTTCACAGTGAAGACATGCTGTTGAAACTTGTGATAACAGGATAGTCATATCTTCTTGCTGTTGCCTAAGCCAGATCAATTTCTCTCGCACATGTGCATCTACCACACTAAGTGCCATTTCTTCTTGGCGGCAAAGAGTCTCGTGAAGGTCAGAAAAATAGGCTCTGATACATGACCGAGCATTCTCTGCAGTGCCTGGAATCTGAAGTGAGATTATAAAATCAAACAAAGAGGCTGCAGGGGCATTACAATTATACTAAAGCAGTTTTTTGTCATGAATGGTACTTATCTCTAGTGTACGCTCAACCATATACAGTATCACTTGCTACAGAGGGTATTCATTTTTAATATGTGACAATCATGAATTATTTGGAGGGAAGAATAAAAGACTAAGAGCAGCAGGTTTTTAGTATTAATGTATAAAAAAATCAAAATGCATGCTTTCAGATTTCACAATGTATTATATCTCCAATGTTAAAAATGCTGAAACATTAGAGCACAGAGTGAAATAAAAAAAACCAAAAAATTAGTTTTCTCCCATTAATTTGCACAAAAAGGTTTTTTTAAAGTTTGTTTAAAGAAATGAATGAAAATCCCATTGAATGTGCCTTTGCCCTAGTTTTAAATGAGTTCTCTGCTTTCCAAGTGTTTTTTCATTATGTTTTCAAATTTTCCATAATCAATTAGCTCCTTAATGCTCTTGACATCTGTTTTATCCTACAGATAAAAGTTCCTGTAAGAACTTTATCAACTTTTGGGGTGTCTGCCATCGTTGGTGCTAAATTTATTTACTGAGAGGGGGCACAAAAAAGTTCATAAATCATGTAACTACGGTAGCATGTGACAAAAGTACTTCCAAAAGTAATTTAAAATTAGGAAATGAATTTATAATAAAGATTATGCATAAATTGAAGAAACTACAAAATTGCTTACATGTTCTGTATGGGTCATTCCTATACCATCTTCGAAGAGCTGTTCTCCTCCCTCTATTTGTTGTACAATTCCATCTAGTTTCCGAGAATAATCTGAGATTTCTTCTGTGAAAGTTCTTATACAATGAGCCATATCTAAAATGGAAGCGCGGATCTGATTTGCTTCTGGTTCCAAAATACTGTGCTAAAGGAAAAACAAACAAACAAAGCAATGAACATCCTTTCCTGAACTTCTTCTGATCTGCATTCCATTTGTCATCCATTATCAATTGGAAACAGAATGTTGGACATTCTGCTTACAAAAACATAGAATGCAACAGATATGGGAAAGCATATTTTCCAAATTCTTTAACAGAATTAGCTTTGACAGCATCAGGAGTCTGTATATTTTGTTTAGTGATATTCTATATTTGAGTGTTTTTGTTCTCCCCTTGGGTTGTAGCTACGTTTTGGGATATATGGACACAATGTGAAGCACAGGAGGAGCTGCATATGGTCCACTTTAGATCATGAAGGACAAAGAGAGAGAGAGGGCTTAGAATGGAACAGTCAGAGACATTTCAAGCTGCCACCCAACTGGGTTTCCTGAATGACTGCATTGGAAAAATGCACACCAAATTTGGTCCCATTTTATTAAGTTTTTGGAGTGTGATCCTATCAACAGACAGAAAGTCTCTTTCATAATAATAAAAAGGGAGATGGTAAATTTAAAGAATAAATCTACTTTTCTAAAAGTTTTGATTTTGATTGAAGCTTTTAAAAAGACTATTTTATTCAGATTGGTTGATTCTAAAATATTACAGAGAGTAACAAGATAAGCACTGTATACAAACAGCATTTCCAATAAAATTAAAAACACTCATGCATAGACATCCTACCATATTACTGCAGACAAGCAATTTTAAAGTGATGTTACTGGAATGCATATACATATTACCTACTCAGTCAGTCATGTATTAAGAGCCATGGTGGCCCAGTGGTTAGAGTGCAGTACTTCAGGCTACTTTTGCTGTCTGCCGGCTACAAGCAGTTCAGCAGTTAGATTCTCATTGGCTCAAGGTTAACTCAGTCTTCCATCCTTCTGAGGTCGGTAAAATGAGGACCCAGATTGTTGGGGACAATATGCTGACTCTGAAAACTGCTTAAAGCACTGTGAAGTGGTTTATAAGTCTAAGTGCTATTGCTATTAACACAGATGGAAATAAAGAATGAAACCTACTTTATGACCCTGGTGTTTTCCGTATTCTTTGCAAACACAACACATAAGAGGACTGGCCTGACAACCTTCTTCCAAACATACAAATTCAATGGCATGCACTTGGTGCTGAGAACACATCGTCTTTTCATGTGGCTTATCAGCAAGGGGCACACGTCTGTGTTTTGCTAGTGTCTTTGTAGAATGTGTAAGGTGGGAACAGTCTGTACACAGGTGAGTAGCACAAACAGTGCAGTACACAGAAGCCAGATGAGTATCATCTTCATCACATCGGATAATGCACTAAAAATAAAGAAAAGAACAGCTTTTTTAAAAAAAAGAAAATAATCGAAATATTTATATCTTTCATTTTTTGATACAAACTCCTACAAATATAGTTAAGCCAGTCTAGGTTAAAAAAAATTCAAAAACTTTCTTAAAGATCTGTAGCAGATTATGTAGAGAGATGCAGAGAAAGAAACGGAGAGGCCATTACTAAAAAAAATCCTACCCTTTATTCTCACCAATCTAGCTGTTCTAACAACCAAATAAGAGTAAAGCAGTGGCCCTCAACTTTTTGGGCACCAGGGACTGGTCCATGGAGAGAGCTTTTTCTGCAGACTGGAGGGGGCGTGGTTACATGTGCTGCCTGCATCCCGGGGATGGGGCTTCACTTGTTTGCACGGCCCAATTTCTGGCATGCCGCAGCCCGATACCAATACCCAACCCCAGGGATTAGGGATCCCTGGAGTAGAGCACCTGATATATTTTTTTTTAAATGGACAGGATTGCCTTTAGAAAATGTGGCTCAAAAGCCATTTATCCAATTAAAACAGGGTAACGAACTTGTGATTGTCCAAATTTTGCTGAACTGCAATTCTCAGAATTTCTGGCCACTGGTGGCACTGGGTAGGGCTGCTAGAGTAATAACTAAGGAACATGTGGAGAGCCACTTGTTTCAATCCTATTCAAAGGTGCTTTGAAGTATTTTCAAATCATTCTGGAAATGAAATTAGAAGCAAAAATGGTTGGATGTGAATGTGACAATCAAATAAATAAAATGAATTATTATTACCTCTCCGGATAGGCCAATAGTTTCTTCAATTGTTCCACACGGACCACCTAATCCATTCTGCAATCGCTCCAGGAGTTCCAACAAAGCAAAGTTTTTTTTCAATCCCCATACACCAGAATCACCTATTTGGGTAAAAAAGGTAGAAATTTAGCATCTTGGGATTCTTACTAAAACTTTGATTCATTCTGAGGCAAAAAATGAAGTTCCTTGGATTTTTATTAATTCAGTTTAGCACATACAATACAGGTAATCCTCATCTTACAATTGATTTCACAGGTACTTGGATCAACAGCTGGCTTTTATGGCTAATATATACATACACATATATACATGAATATATATAATCTGAATAAAATAGTTGAGTTCAACTTACTCTTCCACTTACTGAACAGCAAAATCTTAACCATGTATCAAGGTTTAAAAATACCATACCTAGTTCAGTAACTTGTCGATCAAAAGGACACCGAACTGCTCTACCATGGAGAGGAAGTCGAGTAAGACAGTCATGACAGACAGTATGACCACATAAAAGAAGTCTGGGAACTTTGTCTCCTTGCAATGAAAATACATCTTCACAGACTCCACATTCCAAAACCTATAATTAACAGAAGAGAATTGGACATAATTAAATGGAAAGAAAAAAAGTTCAATTTTGAATGATTAAGGCTATCTATGTGGCTTAAACTGATGCAATTAAGAGTGGAAAATGAAGACATCACCAATTTCCTTAGTTTATTTAGAAGATATAATTCATTCTCAACCTGCAACATTTATTCTGTACACCAATCAGTCTGCGTGATAGTTTACACCTCACGTCCTAGAGTACATCAGATAGTGCCTTGATCAGCAGATTTGGTTCAAATGTTTTCTCAATAACCTTACACTGAGAATCCATGTCTTTTCAGAGGCAATTTTACATGGGACACTCCCAGGTAAGAGAGTTATATAGGATGGGCAACTAGTAGTCTCAGTTCACTTTTCCTTTAACCCAAAAGAACATTATAAGAGACCTCTTTTTAAAAAAGAGATAAATCTACTGCCTTCTGGAGTGGAATATCTACGTTTTAATGACTGCTATTCTATAAAGAGAAAAACCTCAATTTACTAGGGAGATTTCCTCTCTTCATATATTCATAGTTCCAATGACTTGACACAAGGACTATATTTACATTTGTGATGGGAAAGACTTTTCAAGAATTACATGAATAGAATTCAATCTGAAAAGGGCTGATTGTATTACTGTCTCCATCAGCTACATTTTCCTGAAGTGTTTCACTCATTTAAATTGTATCCAATATGTCATCCTGAAAGGAGAGGATCCCATCCCTGGCGGCAAGAGTACTCATCCTTTTTCCTTATTCAATCTATGAAGAAAATATGAAGAACTGATGAAGCTTCTTGGATGAGAAGCAACATGTCTTCTTCTTTAAGGAAAAAAAATAGTCCTGTTATTTTGAAAAAAAGCACCTTTGAGACAAGCATGATCTGGATGGTTGAGAATCTCCATAGACATATGAGGAAAATATAAATATAAAAAAATATGTGTGTGGGATTCTATTACTTTCAAGCACTCGTTTTATCAAGATGGGAGAAAGAAAGGGAATTCATCTGAGTTGATGGTATAGACAAGGCGGGGCATTACAACTACCCCCTTTTGCTTCAACACCGCCTGCGAGAATCTAGCCAGAGAAATTCCAGTGATTCTCGAGGGATGCTGCTAAGAGAGAGAAAGAGAAAGAGAAGCGCCAGCGGGGTAAAAGGACGGATCCTCTCGGTTTTCCCTCGCTCGATCCCTGCAGAAGGCAAAACCAAGGACCCGCCCTCTCAGGTTCACTGTCCTCACCTTCACAACAGGCCCCGCCGGATTCCGGCTGTGCCTGTTCCCGGCATCCATCCCAGCGCCAGACCCGATTTTGTTTACACTTAGCGTTGCCATCTTGGACGAGGAAGGAGAACGCCCGAGAGAAAGTGGACTCCACTAGGGAACCTACAGCGGAGGCCCCCCTGGAGACGGAGGAGGGGGAGGAATGCGCGGAAAACGTCACTAAAGAGAGCCAGAGGCAGGCCTACTAGAGAGACGTTTAAAAAAGGCGTTTAACTTGGGCCTATGGGCTTCTTACCACCACGCATGTCTGTTTCTTTTCAGGCGGCTACAGAACGCCATAATAAAGAAAAAGGTCAAGGTTCGCCGGAACTACAACTACCAGAATGCAGTGTTTTGACAAAGCGCGTTGCTCTCGGTAGCAGCAATAATAGTAATAATAATAAATCGAATCTGCGGAAGGCGAACCGCGCGATGTATCGCAAGACTCTTTGGGAATTGTAGTTTCGGAAGAAACTACGGTAGTAGTCTGTCTTCCGCGAAACGCTATTGGCTGAAAATTAGCGGGCCAGAAGCAGGCGGGTTTTTATTTTTTTATAGAGTGGATAGGGAGTGATGCGGAGACAGGCTACTTTCTAATCTTGACTGAAGAAGGGAAGACCCAAGTCCCGTGGCTGAGGCAATGGATGTGACCCAAGCCAAGCAAGAGCATCTCTTGGCCTTGAAAGGTACTGCTAGGTTTTCGGCTCCTTGTTATTGTGAAGCTCTTTGCCTCGCCTGGTGCTCGTCATCTGGTTTAGAGGAGAAAGGCCTAAGCCTGGTAGTAAAAGCAATGTCCCACGAATGGGGGATCGGATTTCCTCTTGTGGGGCGCAGGGGCAGAAGTAACGCCCTTCTTCCCACTTGTGATATCTTATTCGGGGCGGGCGGTGGGGGATGGCAGGGATGATTGGGGTAAAAATGGGGAGGTGTGTGGGGCGCAATTTATTAACCTTGTTTCATCCCCTCCCTTCAATTGGATCAGTGGGAAGGACCATGTGGCTGTGCATATTCTGCAAACAAGGCAGAAAGAAGTTGGTTTCTGGTTCTTCTTCTCATTTAGCCATAACAGGAACAAGTCTGATGAGCAAATATATTATGGGTTAGTTTATGAAAATAAAGCCAGCAATTTTGTATCTTCTTGGTTGGTTCTCCTAGAAAATTATCTTTTTAGGGCAGTGTTTTTCAACCTTTTTTGTGCAAAGGCACACTTTTTTAATGAAAAAAATCACGAGGCACACCACCATTAGAAAATGTTTAAAAAATTTAACTCTGTGCCTATATTGACTATATATAAAGTAATTTTCCCACGGCACACCTTACACTATGTCACGGCACACTAGTGTGCCGCGGCACAGTGGTTGAAAAACACTGTTTTAGGGATTGTGGATAAGAAACCCCAGATAAAGAACTTGATATCTCTGTTCTGTCAGGCAAATGTAGATAGTCCTCAACCTACAATCTTTCATTTAGCAACTTATCGAAATTACAGTGGCACTGGGAAAAAGTGATTTATGACCATGTTTCACACTTGCAGCATCCCATGGTCATGTGATCAAAATTTGGTTGCTTGGCAACTGGCTCATATTTATGACAGCTGTAGTGTCCTGGGTCATGAGGTCACCTTTTGCAATCTTTGGACAAACAGAATCAATGAGAAAACCAGATTCACTTTACTAACCGAACAACTGCAAGAAAGATTGTAAAATTGAGCAAATTCACTAAACAGTTGTCTTGCTTAGCAATGGAAATTATAGTCATATAATTTCCATTGCAGTCAAGAACTATATCAAACAATTGCCTTCTGCAGTAGGACTTCACTCTTTCATCTTTGTACCAGGATAAAATTATATATGTTGACCTATGGATATTTCCCCAGCTTACTATTCTTGAAGAAAACAAAATACTTTTATTATTTTGAAATGCATAATTATTGTTTATGTTAGCATTAAAATAATATATATTATTAATATGTAATAATGTCAATATTACTATTATTACAGTAATAGAACTAAACTGTATTAATGGAAAAATATGTTTTTACACATACATTTTTTTAATTATTACATCTTGCAGAGTGTCCTACTCAGAATGCAGATTCCTGATGGGAAACCAATATAACTTGGGGTGACAAAATGCTTATGTGGAGCACACATATAGAAAAATTAGTTCCTTATTTGTGTATATTCTTTTCATTCACATTTTATAGTGTGAAAATAAAAGTTTTCTGATGCGTTTTTGATGATTAGCATATCAATGATACAATGATAAGATTTTTAGTGAGTTTAAATAATATCTTTGTGGAGATTATGGAAAAAAATATTTAAATGCCTATTTTCAAATTATTGAAAATTTAAGGTTTAAGGCTAGAATCACTTTTTCAGGGTTTTTGCCTCTAAAATCCTTCTGCTCAAAAGCCAAGATAATTTATATTGAATCTTTTCAAAAATGTGCAAATGGAGTGTATTTTTTTAGTATGCCTGTAGTAATGCTTAAAGCAGCATGTCTAGCATGTTGTTTTTAGATGGTCTGCCCTGGAACTACGACTTCCAGAATTCAAAGCCAGCATAAATAAAAACTGAGGGACGCGGTGCCTCAGTGGCTAAGACACTGAGCTTGTTGATCAGAAAAGTTGGCTGGCAGTTCAGCAGTTCGAATCGCTAGTGTCGCATAACGGAATGAGCTCCCGTTACTTGTCCCAGCTTCTGCCAACCTAGCTGTTCAAAAGCATGTAAAAATGCAAGTAGAAAAATAGGAACCATCTTTGGTGGGAAGATAACAGCGTTCCATGCACCTTCAGCATTTAGTCATGCTGGCCACATGGCCACGGAGACGTCTTCGGACAGTGATGGCTCTTTGGTTTTGAAATGGAGATGAGCACAGCCCCCTAGAGTCAGGAACGACTAGCACATATGTGCGAGGGGAACCTTTACCTTTATAACTAGAAAATCTAGGAATTCCCCCAGGCTGGAGAAGAGTAGAACAGAAAGGATATATATATAGGGAAATTGTGTGACATGAAACTTAATTTCACATAATATGTGATGATTAACATAATGTATATATCCAAATGTTTGATCATCTAGGAAATATATGAACATTGAAAACAAAAGATACTATAGTTCTAACTCATTTGTTTCATACTGGTAACATAGAAACTCTTGTGGTTTCAATGACAATAATAAAACTGGGAAGAAGCTGTTAATAAAACTGAGGGTGTAATATACCATTTGAGATGTTTTTCCAAAAGTATATATTTATGGTAAATTAAATTAGTAGAATATTGACTAGCAAAATCTCAGTGAATTTGATGGTAAAGTTGTTAGAGTATCTTATTACTTCTACTCTAGGTCCTGTTCTCAGCTGCACAGCCCACAGAATAAGATTCTTTTGAGCAATAACATGTTTGTTGAGACACGCCTGCCCAGAAAACTTTTAAAATAAAACATGGATTCCCACTGTACAAGGATGGAAATGGTTTTGCACTACCGAGCTTGGGAAAAGGACCCTGCAGCATTGCAAAACATTGCAGAAGAAGCCTTGAAGAAATTTCCTAGGCGTCAACTGCCAGTCTTCATACCCTGGTTTCCAAACACTTCATGTAAACTGACTATTAAACCTAAAAATGCTCCTCCAGTTGTTTCTGTTAGAGAAGTAGAAGAAGTTAAAGGATCTATTGCTACTTCAGAAACTATTTGCAACACTTCCTTTTGTTATAACAGTGTAGAAGGGCTTAAGGATTTTCAACCTAATATAAAAGCTGAACAGACTTTACACAATGAGCATGGAGAAACTGAGCTGACCAATTTGGAAAAGCCATCAGGACATGGCAGAGGCAAGCTAAGGAGAACTTGGAGTGTTTCTCTACCCGGTTCAAAACTAAAAAGCAGCATTCTTCCTTTATCTCTAGAATTGCAGAAAACTTTAAAAAAATTAAAGCTGCATGTATTCTATAGAGCGTGGTGGATAATAGAACCGTCTATTTGTAACAACCAAGTTTTGGAAGACATTTGGATAAATCTTAATGGCATGATCAAACACAATGAACTTCCATCTTGTAATGCTACAATCCAGAGACATGAAAATCAGATTTTGGTTTTTTGTGATATATTATACTGTGAAAATGTTGCAAACTGCCTTAGAAAAAAATTAAACATTAAGGGAAAGATGAATCTGCTTGTTCACAAATATGGAATTATACATAGTTTCTAGTTTTTAGCTAAAGCAAGGCATGTATGTAACTTGGGATCTGATAAGCCAAAATAACATATTTGCTGCTGTATATTTGCCAAAACATGCTTCCACTCACCACTCTTCCCAACAAAGAGCTAAACAGTAGGTAGATGGTTCACAGATGGTTAGTTGAGTATTAGGCTCAAAGTGATCTATTTCTTCTATTCCCTATGAAGCTAAAAATCTAAATCCTGAATGTTTATGCAGGCAACAAGCAAGGCTGTCTTTTTTAAAAAAATATACTGCTAAATAAACTACAAATGGAATTTATGGATTTATTAGCTGTGCCTTCTGGCAGGATAAGATGAGCAGAAGTAATCATGAAGCATGTGCTGATATAAGACACTTTAATAATACATTTGGTGAACCATACTTTCTTATAAATGATAACAGACAAATACAAGACTATATTAAATGTTTCTAGTTATTTCTGTAGGAACTAAAGATACCAATAGTTTGTTGAGTACTAGAAATCCTTATTGTAGACCCTCACATCATTTCTGAATTTACTGTTTAATTAAATGATTTTCTTAATATGATTCAGTCCATATGGTCAAGTGGTGATAAAACATATTTACAAATGAATTGATTTCTACAAGATGTACTGTAAGTTTTCCAAAGATACACAATTATTTCAGAAAATGACATTTGGGGAAAAAAAATCTGCCTGTGAATAATTATGTTTCGAATCTTTGTTACTAGAGCATAAAAATATTTGTGTATAAATATTAAATAAATGCAAAAGCTATTTCTATCAATATTTTTAAAATGTTTTTTGTAATATTTGACCCTATCATTGGATTATTATTACAGTACTATTAGGATAAGTAAGTATAGGCAATGGAGCTGGCAGTAAATTGGGAGGACAGAATTACATGCTGTGAGGCTTTATTTAAGTATCCTTGAATGTTCATTTTGAGTTCTGCCTCAATTTATTGTATG